TATGTGTGTGTGTGTGTGTCATGTCATTTTTTGTTTGTAGGACAGAACTCAAAAGTTAGTCTGATTTAAGAGGGTTTGAAATAGATTTTAGAACAAGTCTATGTGCCTTAGTTTGACCAGATCATGTTTATGAAAGTCTGAAATATTTATTTAAACTCCAAAACTGGCTTTTTTAACATTATAAAGTGACTCCTCGAGGCAAATTTTTCTGCATTTCACCCTGTTTTCTTTTCACACTTCCACTTGTTTGCACAAAAAAAAACAACGGGGCCCCAAATTTCTCATAAAATTTCAGCAGCCTGCCGAGAGACAAAGGCGAGTGTGAAGCTAATAAGGTTTGCGCAATGAGCGTGCTCTGAAAAAAAAAAGGGTCTCGGGTCATATTCCATACACCGCATGTGTGATAGTGTTAAAAAGACAGAGCATGACAGTGAGAAAATAGCGAGAGCTGTGAGTAGAAAGAGAATGAGCACAGAAGGTTGAAAGAGAAAAGATAGGCCAGATAGGAAGATGGAAAGCATGAGGTTTTGCAGAGGATCTATTTTTTCCCCCTTTCTTGTCAGCAGAAGCCTCACTGGGTTTCTTTCCACCCAGGATTTGCCTACACAAAAGCAGCCTAAGTAATGCGGTCTAATCCCTCAATCCGAGCCTGGTAGGGAGTACGATAGATTTGTAAATGGTGCCCTTTACAAATCAGTTTTATTCCTTTTTGTCTTCTCACATCCATGTCATTCACCTTTTTATTTCCTTTCTCCCCAAAATGCTTTATCTGTGTCCCTTTAGTTATTTAATGCTTTCTTCCTTCCTCTATGCACCAAAATGATAGTGAGCGCTTAGCAATGTTACGGCTCAGGATTGGATGTTCCCCATTCAAATATTTATTAATTTTTTTCATCTCTAGAAGCCACAACAGAATGACATCCATAATATTTTTTTTATATGTAACAATTTACTTGCATAAAAATATGTATGTAAAAATATGTTTTTATATTTTTATTATTTATAATAAATATAATTATAAGGTTTATTTAGGGGCTTTAATACATATAAATGTATATGTATATATTTGTAAAAAGTAGCTATACAAATATAATATGGATTTAATATCAAGGATTTATAAAAATGATTATGTTTCTAAAGCTGTGCATGCATTTCATAAATACTTTTACATTTTGATGCTGTCAGTATGTCCATATTGTGCATTTCAATGTATATATTTTTGTATTCAGATGTGTAAACATTCGGTATGAATACTAATGAGGTCAGGAGGGAATGAAGCTTACTACTTAATACTGCACAGAATGCATTCCTGTTTATAAAGTAGCAAATGAAATCATAGATATTATGTGAAAACAAAATACAAAACATTTAATCTTGCATATTTTGTCACATGACGTAGAGCCGCTGCACGCCAATGTCACTCGAATGCAATTTCAATTCTGTTGGGTGGCAAAAAAAAAAAAGGTAATATTGGAAGTCTTAAAAGTAATTATGAGTATTACAGCTGAGATTATGTCTGGTTCATTCATCACTCTATAAATAGAAGGTCAAGGCTAGTGCATTGTGGGATACAGTATGTCCCACGTTTGGCAAATGTAATAGGTCATCCAGATATTTCATGCATACAGAAAGATCAATGTGCCCAAGGAAACAGGTTATTTCTGAATTCTTTGTTAAAATTGCCTGGAATTAGGCATCTCAACATCTGTGGGGTCTAATCCCATATTCCCCTTCTGTCTGTGGGTTATTAATATATGTGGATGAAGTAAAAAACTAAAAGGACCAACCGGGTTCTGGACAGCCATTGAGCTGACCTGCAAATAGGCATCATTCTTCCAATTCACCTTCATTAGTATGCATTGCACATCATACATTTTTTCCTTAGGTTCTTTACTGAACCAACCTATTTTTAGCATCCTGTATTTATGTACTGTATCTGTTTCAGAAACGTCAGCTTAAATCATAGTTTTTCATTTAGAGCCTTCTATAAGAGCCTTCCAAATCAGTGGGGACATATTGTACCTTGATACTACTAAATCATACTGACTGTATTTAAATTATAATGTATAGTGTATACAATTATACTGACTTGTGCTTGTGTGCTTTCCATCCACACGTTAGTTCACCCTTACTCTGTTGGTCTTTATTGACTCCAGATTACCTCATCTCCTGTGTGCTCTGATTGAAGTCTGTGAATCATCAGCCACTGTCCGGCTTGAGTTTCCAAACTGTCTGAGTAGGATTAATCTACACACTCTCTCTTTCCTCTGTGGCTATGTCTGAGTGCTGTCTTTGGAAACTGTATATGGATAGGAAGACATCAAGACACATTCAAATACATTATTAGTGTCATGTGTAACACACACACAAACACATAGCATTTGTCTCAGCATTTGTAAGAAAGAATAATACAGGCTGGTGGTAGATGAAGTAAATTAATAAGAAAAAAAAGTAAATTGGTGTTCCTTTTTTTCAACGTGATTCCATTTCCAGTGAGAAGTAAGCATTTTTTGGCATGAAATACTTGCTTGGTTATGGCTAAAGCTCACTTCAATTCATTCTAGGTCAGCATTTTGGAGCAGTTTAGTCTATGTTAAATATTCTTGTTTAGAAGTGCTTTAGAACCTGTTTAGAACCTATTGTTGTAGTTTCATTATCAATATGATGCTCAAAAATAAACCACTTTTTAAAAAGGAAATCAAGCTCACAGAATAGTAATTTGATCTTTAGTTGATCCCCTTATTTTATTTTTGTACAAATGTAAATTTGTGGTGTGCGCTTATATTGTGTGCTTGAATCGGTCATCTCTTTCTCTTTACTAGTAGTTATAGCACAACATAAACATGAATGAACATCAGAAGATGAAAGATGCAGTGCAATTTACTGAAATGTATCATCTCTTATGTAATTGTCTTTCAGCACTGGCCAGATGTAGTAAATAATAAAATAATTTTAAAAGTTTGTAAAAATAAATACCCATAAATACCTTGTAAACAACATCATGTATTGCCTCAGGAAATCCACTTAATGTTCACAAATCATTATTTTGCTAGAAGAACAAATCTAAATATATCTACTATATTATATATTCATTATATATGACCGCCACTGTTTGAATGTTTATATTTCAACTAATTAAAGCAGAAACATAATTTGAGCATAATTTTGAGTTTTTATTTTTGTGTTATTATTAAGTACTGTAGTACCAAGTGGGAGGGTTCCCTATTTAGTTTACAGCACTAATTGAAAGAGATTTTTTTTTTTCCAAAACCTGATTTATTTCCAAATGAATTGAAATTGAATGGAATCAAGATCCAAATCACAACAAATCGAGAAATGTGTGTCAATACCCAGCCCTAATAGTTTTATAGTGTCCATTTCTAGAGTCATGCCATGTGCCACCACATTAAGTTGTGGTGCCTTGAAAGTCTGTCTGAACCCACTATCCTTCATACTAAAATGCTGTCTGTGAAGTCATTGAATTGGCTTTAGGACGCAGGCTTTGTAAGGCTCAGGACAGCAAACAGGCTAATACCGTAGCTGTGGAGTCAGCACAAAAGGCCATAATTTGCAGGCCGTGGAGACTATCGGGTCGTTGTGTTATCCACACTCATGATGCCCTGGGAAACTTCATTTTGGTTGTTTGTTGGAAATAGTGTCATGCATTGAGGTGCTGGGTTACATCTGTTAATTTCCCAGTGGTTGAGACATTCATAATACTATGCAATTTTAACTTGCTCTCAAAGGCAAGCAAGGGACTGGAAGAAATCTCT